AACCCTTCCCCAATTCCTACTGGCCAAATCATAACAACATGACTTCCTTCCTGCGCCGAGCTTTTCCTCAGACCAGGTCGCTAGATAACAAATGTTGCAGCTGCTGTTGTTGATGACTGGCTTCATTAAAAAAAAAAAAGAAAAAAAAGCAGTATTGTTGAGATCCTTCTCCTCTTGGTTTTCATGCGGTTGATGCAACAGTTTTTTTTTGGGGGGGGGGTTCTAAATTTCCCCAGATGGATCAAATAATATTCCCCAGATTCCGTACTGTTTGTTTGATATAAAGGTGTACCTCAGGGATCATTACTAAGCCTTAAGCCATTTCAGAAACGAGCGATGAAATATTCCTATTCCTAACTTGCAATATAGCAAATGGAAATCTTCCCATCGCTCGCTGGCTCAACCTTGGTACCAAATGGATTTTGTGCGCCGATCTTGTTTGTCGTGTATTTCAAATGAACTTTTGCAAATGGAAGGGGAAGCTTCGTTTTAGAAACTCGGGCTACTTCATTGTATTCATTTTGGGCTTGTGTGCAGCATCAACGCTGTCGCGACCTTCTCACGTGGAGCGTTGGAGCTTTTTCGGGTGTTGCGCGTGCCCATTTCCCAAAGCGTTGCTTCTCAACCGTCCTCACCCTGGGCCGCGTCTTTCCCTGTTGCTCGTCAGTCACAGAAGTGAAACCGAAGCATATCATGACTCGGGCTTACGCGTTTCAAGTGGCTTTTAGCGCACTTGATGATGAAACTGGGGATGAACATGACCCCGTGTTGAAAAACAAACGAATCTCTTGGCACCGAGCTCTTCCGTTTCAGGAAATGAGGGCTGCAGACGCAAAGCTTTCCAGAACCCCCTAAACTTTCCAATTCTTTCATCATCATTGGAATCCTTTCTCAAAATGCAGATGTAGCGTTTTGCTGGCTCGACTTGAAATAGAAGTCAGCCCGAAGAGATTTGCAGCCATTTGTGTTGTTGGCATTCCTTTTGTTTCCTCCACTGATTCATCCATCCGAGGTGGCATTGTTTTATCCAGATGCAAAAAATAGCCTGGAATGGTTCGAACCATTCCGTGGCACGATATTAATACATCTGGTCGCGTAAACAAATCTTCGGGCTTCCCGGATCCGGTGCGGTGCCCTTTTGTTCTTCATATTGTGCGGCGCGTAACGTGTTCCTCGGCCCTCCTCGACCCCGAACGCTGGACAGGAAGCGGCGTGACAAAAGGTTCAGTAAACAGATGCCAGGAGGTGCTCAGCTGTTCCGCAAGGCTCAAGTTCAGCGGCCGGGCGCGTGTGCCGTTTCATGCGGACGCTGCAGTTGAAAATGGACTTTTCGTAGGCGGCCGTGCTTCCATCCGGGATTCGTTTGTTTGTATTGCTCTTCGATCACAGGCCGGACATTTCCTCTTGCAGGAGTGGGTGACAAACTGGCTGGTAAAAATGTCCTCCCCAGTCAGGTTACACGCTGGCTGTGTCTGACTTCATCAGCCAAGCGTGAATGGGCAGCCGCACTCAAAGCGCTTCGCACCGTTGGCTCGTTTGCCGACAGGAGCGACTGGGGGGGTTAGTATTTTGCTCAAGGCCGCAACACCCCCCCCTGCGTACAGTTTGTGTGGACAATGCGAAATGGGAATGGGAACAAAACAACAGGTTGGCAACGTAGCGACTTTCTCGCTACATTTGGCGAGTTTTCAGACCCCTCTCGCGACTCTTTTTCCAAAAAAAGCAACTAGCGACAAATCTAGCGAGTTTTTCTGGCGTTATTAAAGACTTTGATGTGAAAGCACATCTCAAGAATCGACAGAGCAAAGTTCGTTTGTAATTCTAAACATATTCAGGACAGATTTTTTTTTTTTTGCTGACCTATTATGTCTCCCACGGCGTCCGTTCCAGCCTACCCGTACGGGGTCAATGATGCAAAATTGGCCACGGCATCATTGAGCGACTTCGAGGACAGTGGCGTCCGTTCCAGCATGCCCGTACGGGGTCAATGATGCAAATTTGGCCACGGCATCATTGAGCGACTTCGAGGACAGCCAATAGCTACTTTCCTTACTGAGAGGTTGACAACACTGGGCGGCCCACAAAAACTGCAAAATGACAGAAGCACGGTGAACCAAATAACACGACGATGCAAAACAACACATTTCCAGGAATTTGGTGAAAACCGAGGGGCCAAACGGGGGCTCCTGCCAGTCTACATTTCTGTCTCGTCCCCTCACTTGACGCCATTCAAGTCATTTTGTGACGGGGAAACGTTGACCGGCGACAACTCTCATTTAAGGCTAATTGGGTTTGCTAATTCGATTATTGATGGCAGGGATCTCCGCTCGACTCGATGACTTGAGGAGCCGGCCAGGAAGACGGCTGCCGCCGCGACTTCCTTCCTCTCTCCGTGGGCTCGGTCGTTTTGACTGCGACTGTGATCGATGGGACTCGAGTGACTCGTCTTCAAAGTAAACAACCGGCTGAGCAGAGGCCGACTGCGGGTCGTCGCTGGCTTGCTGGAGCCAAACTTTTCCTGGCCACACGCCAGTTTCATGGCGCGCCGATGCAAATCAAACAGAAATGAAAACATTGATGAAAGTTCCATCCATCCATTTTCTCATCCGCTTCTCCTTTTTTGGGACAACAGACCCTGAATGCATACATGTGCATATAATATATATATGTATATATTATAGCGCAAGTGATGACGTCTCCGGGAGTGGAGAAGAGCTCCCCCCCCCCGCCCGCACCGCAGCCCGTGTTGACTCGACACGTAGGTGGCTGCTGCTTTTTATACCATCACTCCAAATGTTGTTTTGTGCGAGTTGACTGTCACTTGAAGTGGGCTCCGAGGTCATGTGACTCACTGTTGTGATGACTCATCCGTGCCGACCGCGTTGCGAGCGCACAGGACAAAAGAGCTCGGCCTCCGAGTTGACTCCTATTTTTAGAGCGCCGACCCTCCGTCCTCGAGCGACCACAACGCTCGCCCTTCAGCGCACTGATTGGAAGATGGGCGGCGGGCGTTTTGAGCCCTTTTTGTGGAGAGGCATTTTGTGCCCCCCAAACAACCCCCCGCCCCCCC